ACGATACATGTGCAGTGGGTACTATTGATGAGATTGAAATAATCACCAATCAAGAAATGAGAGTTTCCAAGGAAGCTAAGAGAAGTCTCTACATTTATATATTTAAGAGAAATCTGGTGATGATGGGTGCATAAATATATTATTAGTTATTATGATAATATACGGAGTAATAAAATTAAGTCAAGTTAAATTGCATACAAATTCAGAAGCACAACAGCATGCAATCGGAAAACCTCAAATCAAAAATGACATTTTGGTTGAATGCTTTTATAGTTTTATTAGTTCTGCTCACAATTCAAGATGCTATTGTTCGTATATCTGCTTCATGTAAATAATAATTGAAAAAAAATTCCAAAGACTGGTGCATAAAAAATACGCAAATCCATGAGGTGTAACAACAATATATTAAATAAAAACATTATATAATTTGTCTACATATGTGAATCATTAGATAGTTTCAAATTTAATATGAGAAACATGACACATTATGATTATAGGACGGGACTAATAAAATTAGGACCTGGAGGTGGGTCAAGTAGTGAGGCAGCTAACACGTTGGAGTGGTCACAACGTCTGCAGGAAAGAAGAACAATAAGTCCCATTATTATATTTCATGAATCTGTACATGAAATTAAATATCCGCAGTTAAGTTGTATACACATATATACTACATACACAAGTATACAACGTGGGAGTGTCAACACATAGGACAAGCACAGTGTTGTGTGTGAATCCCACTAAAAGATGTCCAACTTTTGTGCATATGGATTTGTGGTAAGACGACATGACATTAATAATATGATGGTGGGTCTGGGTGAGGGAGGATCTTTGATGTATATTAAAATGGGGAGCAAAGTCAATCGCAACTGATTTGGTCTTGGATTTTTTTGGATAAAGAGGTTGCTTAAATAGGAATGTATGTTTGCTTTAGTTTGGACACTTTTATTTATATTATATTTAGTGCACTGGACCCTGGACATGGACACTTCTATTTATATTAAATTTCATTGTATTTTTCTACCTAAACACCCAAACATCTAGTGTAGGACATCCCACCTGGTCACCACATTTTTGGTACAATTCAAGTACTTCATACCATATTCCATATATAAATACACATACATACGCATATATTGACACATTAAATAATTTCATTAGCTTGTATTTACGCGTACATTATTCAAACTTTATTAATTAATAACACACACTCTCTAAATATTTAAAAAAAAAAAAATTGTTCTACATTAGATGGCACATATCTTCTCTTCTCATAGGAATATAATCTTGAGAATGATCTGGAGATTCTGAAACCACTATAATCTTGGGTGTGCATTGGATGTGTGCATATGAGTTTGGATGTGTGTGCATTCTGGGTGGGCGTTTGCTTTTTATTTTTATGACAGTAGTTGTTATAACAAGATTTGGTTGTGTTGTGTTGTTTGGCCAATTGGGAGATTTATTTAATATCCCCTGTTTATTTTATATCCCATGTTGTGTGCATTTTAATCAACTATCAATGACTTTGTTTGCTCAGTAGTCACATGCACAAGTTATTATTGCCAAATGCCCATGCCGTTATATTCTAAGTGCATTTTTGTTACAAACAAGTGTCCATCTACACTTTGCCCATGCATACACACTCTGTTCTGCTTATGTGCACAAATTGTACTTATCGCAAGCGCAAACACTTGACAACTAATGTTCATACTATACTTATCGCAATTGCAAACAATTAACAACTAATGTACCATACACACGCGTAACAAGTCCCGACCTATGCTAGGATAACACATGAACACTCTACAATGCATATATGCACAAACTGTCAGTGTTATGCTGTGTATATGCACATACGTTCTAAATTTTTTGTTTCAAATTTTCGCCGTGCACACAGCTCTTATCTCAAGTGCAAACACTTAACAACTAATGTGCACACATTATGTCAAATGCAGACATTAGTTCTCATACTACGTTCGCTCAACACGTGAAAACCACCCTCATTACGCTTGTCAGATTTGAAACCGTACATGCACATAGTTTTTCCCAGTAGTGCACTTCCATTTTTCCCCTCTAGCCAAATACTGGAAACCCGGAAAATGATTTCTTGAAATCAATAAATCATTTTTCGGATTTCCGAACACACCCTAAATTTTTTTCTTTTTCAATCGATGTCGCTGGAGGGAAAATTATACCATGGACTAGGGTCTACCTTGCATTGTAGACCCTGATCCAAAAATAACCTTCAGATTCTGTATCTATAGTTCGCACATTCTGTATCTGCAGTTGATAATTTCTGTACATGTAGCTATCATATTATGTGTCAGTAATTATCAAGTTATTTATTTACATGTACAAAAATGGTTAACTGTAAGTACAAAATTTTATATCAGGATTCACAATATAATATGAATTCTGATTCATAGTATAACAATTGTCGCGGTGCAATATAAACCCTGGTCTATGGTATAACAATTGTCGCGGGAGCAGGATGGCCCAGGCCCCTGGGTCGACTAACCATGGTGGCGGCAGGTGTCTGATTGAGGATTAAGGATGTTATGAGCCCATTCCTTGAGTGTAAAATACTATGGGCTTAATAATGTAATATTTGTGTTATTTAATTTTACATTTTTAAGTGTTGTCAGTTATCCATTTAAATAAGTAGACAGATCAAGCCTACATTTTTATCGTATATATTAGTACTTCCAATTAAATCTAGCCCAATGCACTCCTTCAGGCAAATTATATTATGCACCGCGGTGCATAATCGATTATGCACCGCGCGTCTTTTTTTTTTTAAATGAAAATTAACAGTGTTTATTTCCGCCGTTTCGCACCCTTTTGCAAAAAGTAACTCTGTTATTCAGTGTCATTTTGTATACACTGCAGTTTCAATTGAACACAACTACAGTTTCATTTCGATATAACTATAGTTTCATTCGATATTTATAGACTCAAATATGTGAAAATGTTATTTAATTTTATTTTATATACACTATAGTTTCATTAAAACACAACTACATGATCATTTTGATATAATTACAGCTTCATTGTACAATATACACTCAAATATGTGAAATGTATTCAGTTTCAGTTTATATACACTGCAGTTTCATTTCACTATAACTACAGTATCATTTTGATATAACTGCAGTGTCGGTTTGGATATACTGTAGTGTCAGTTGGTGTTTAATATACCAAACAAACGGACTCCGTTAACTCTAACGGCGGGCCGTTTCTTTACTTAAAGAAACGGCGTCGTTTTTTACCGCGGTGCACATGCACCACGATCTATAATATAACGACTGACTCCTTCACGTACTAAATATAATACTTTGGGTACCATTATATTGACAAATTATGCTGTGCATCCGTATGCACCATGCATGGTGCATACGGATGCAAAAACGACGTCGTTTTGGTTAAAAAAACGCGCGTCTCACTTATAAAAAAAAATCAGACTCGATTCTCGGTAATAGCATTTTTATATATCCATAAATTCATATCTATATATCTATAAATTCATAACTATATATCCATAGTGAATGAATAAACTAAATATCCACAATGAATGAACTAAATATCCAGAAATTCATAACTATATATCCAGAAATTCATAACTATATATTCACAGTGAATGAATGAAGTAAATATCTACAATGAATGAATTAAATATCCACAATGAATGAACTAAATATCCATAAATTCATAACTATATATCCAGAAATTCATAACTACATATCCAAAAATTCAAAACTATATATCCACAATAATGCTATTGTTGAGAATCGAACCTGGTTTTTTTTTAAGTGGGACGCGCGTTTTTAGTCAAAACGACGTCATTTTGCATCGTATGCACCATGCATGGTGCATTCGGTTGCACAACATAACTATTGCATTATATTGTATAGGTACTAGTTCTTTAAATTTTCAAGATAATAAATTCGATAACTAAAATATACTCCGTTTTTTTTTTAAGCAAAGGGACTTTATTATTGGCGAATAGCCCGAAGAGAGGCAAAGCCTCTAAGATCATACATCAAAGCTAATTTGGCCATAGAAGGCAAAAGAACAAAATTGCTGAAAACTTTGGGAGAACCAAAATTGAGGGCTTCCTCCGCTAGCGCATCGGTTCGCCTCCTGAAAGACATGACGAATAGTAGAGCCCCATTCTGAAAGGCAAGCTCGGATGTGTAAAACGGGTTCGCGTATCTTCCAAGGGATCAGCCCCCGACGTGGACACACAATTGGCGAGAGTTAGAGAGTCAACCTCGATCATAAGAGGCCGTGTCACAGTGGCCTCACACCATAAGATGGCCTTATGCAAAGCTAGAGCTTCCGCTTCAAGTGCTGAGGACGCGTCGAGATGGTAGCACAAACCCACAACAAGATGGCCTCTTGAATCCCTTAGGCACGCACCACCGGCAACACCATTTAAAGAGAATGAGGCGTCCGTGTTCAGCTTTAACCTCCCCGACGGCGGGGCCAACCACTTAACCCAAATCGTTGTTCGTCGTGGAGGAGAATAAAGACGGGCGACCAGGCCTTCAGCCACCAAAAGGGAACCTGCAGGCCCCCTACAACGCGGCTGTTTTGCGAGGGAGAGCAAATGCGCTTCAAATTTGATTCTTAATAGTCCTTTGAGCGAAGAAGCCTGCTCCATCATAGAGGCACTCATTGTAAGAGACCCACAAAAACCAAAGAATAAGGCATGGGAGAAGACATGCGTAGCCGCCAAGCAATGGAGTATCCAGGATCCACCACGCTTGGCACGCCGCAAGCACCGAGAAGACGCTGCGCTGGCTTAAGCCAAAAATACCCTTAAAGTGTCTCCATACGACCTGCGCGCCGCTGCAATGATACAGGCAATGTTCCAAGCTCGAGCTTGCAGCCAGGCAGATAGGGCAAATCGAAGGCAAGCAAAATCCAAAGCATTGGATGAAATGTTGGAGGGCCACAGCAGGAGATAAGGAATCTGGTTGCTTATTACAGTTTTTTATTTTTTATTAGTACAGAACTGATCGAAATTAATCAAAGATGATTATTGTTCAATGTATATGTGTTGAAATATTGTGAGATGGTCGGTTGCTATGAACATATACATGATTACAGTTACAGATAACAGAATTGAGAGGCATAACTTTATTAAGCAATGCAACTATGAGCAGCGCGTAGCAGAAAGACCAATGAACAAATCGGTTTCCACCATACAATTCTGCGTATTGTTACTCCCGCTTCCAATTTCCTTTTGCCTTGCAAGTGCAGGTGGGGGTGATGGTATCATATTTGGCTTCAGACCACACTATCACAAGTTCGTCACAAAATTATATTATATATATATATAATCTCAGCACTTTATCAAGAAAATTTTTAACTCGACACATGATGGTATCCATAACACCAAACTTTCAAGTTGCGACCAAAAAAAAAAAAAATCATCCATTTTTGGGTCTGATTTTTTAGTGATGATGATAAGGCGCTGACTGTTTAAAATTTCAATTTGAAGAGTTAGAGAAAAGAAAGTAACCTTGTCAAGTAATATTGCATTTTCTTGCAGCAAATGTATGTGCTGAACAAAATAAAAATAGAAATAGCAGGGTGTCAATTACTTGAAACACCGAAACCTAGTTACCTTAATGCATTAATGATGTTTCATTATTATCTATCGTACCTTGGCTTTGAGGCTTTCAATTTGTTCTTTGTAAACTTGAGCCTAGGGATTCCCCAGGTAAAACTTAGCATCTTATCAATGATATTATTAAGGTTTTATTTTCTTTCAAATTAATTGATATATATGATATGATGTTAGATAATAGATACCTTTCTGGTCCTGATATGTTTCAAGCTTTTCTCCAGCTGACAGTCAATTTCATTCAGCTCCCTCATTGAACATGATTCCAAACCTTGCCCCAAAAGCTTCCTGATCAACCATTATATTATTATTATTATAATAAGCATATATATGAATATACGGAGTATATAATATAATTATATAAGCTTAGCTTTAATTTAAAACACACAGAAATTAAACAACTAAGTAAAGCCAGAAACTAACCGTTGAGAAACTTCCAGGAGCTCTATCTTCTTCTCCATCAAAATTGTTTCGTGCTTGAGATGCTGCATTGCAGATGAACCAACGTAACAAACCACTCAACTAGCCTTTTGCATTATATTCACAACTTTATTTTATGATTGATTCATTCATGCCCCGCCAAAACAATTATTCACCTTTAATTTACTCATGATTAATTTAACAATTAACTTCCCCGTTTATCATCTTCACCACCCACCATTCTTCATCTTTCAATCTATCTATCTATCATTACCAAGATATAATATTGATCTTCTGATAGCATTGTATGGTAGTTGGTTGTAATTATACATTAATTTCATGTAAGTTAATACACACACACACACATATATATATATAGAAGAACCTGACCTCCCTGTATTGCCCACTATCATTATTGTTGTTGCTCCGTGCTTCTTTTGAACGTTCATGGTATCTCTGGATTATTTGCCTAATGCTGAAACCATAAATTCATCCAAAGCAGAATCACGTTAAAACTAGATCCACCAAGCTTGAAATTTAGACTATAATTTTGTTTTTTTTTTAAAAAATACAAATTTGGAAAATGCATTAATTAAGATTGATAAATGCAAGCAAAACTAACCACACATAAATAGATAAGGTTTAGAAGAATGCAATATTTTTTTTAGTGATTCGACCTCACTTTCACTATTTAAGAACTTTATAGTTTAGTTAATTATCAACTCACCAATTTAGTCCTCTATTATAACCAATCTCAATCAATTCTCATTGATGGGCTTACGATGGTTATTGCAATAGTCCAATGCAAGTCAACAAGCTAAGCTAAGGGATTAGCAAATCCCATTTTGTACAAACTTAGCTTCTTGATCGAACACAAGGATAAAAGTTACGCACCTTTGATGTATCTAACATATATAAATATATGCATGTACATATAGCTCTCTGAATTGAGTTAAAGTCAAACAATGGCAAGCAATAACTTAATCTAGGAATTAACTTACAAAGCAAATTAAAGTGATTGAATCAAGGCTTTATAATTATTATATGAAACTTGGTAAAGTATGTAAATGATTGAAAGTTCCTTAGCTTCTCCAGTAAAGGCATAAGACTCATAGTGAATGAAGTTTATGATCAGGAAGAGTTAAAGCTTGGTTGATCATAAATGTTCAAAACCTTCCCTCATATATGTTTGAGAAGGAGATAGTAAAATTGAGAACCAATGAGACTTCTCTTTAATTACCTTAAGTTATGTAAATTTCTTCTCTTCAATTACCTTACATTAGGTAAAACTAAGAGTCTTGTTTTAAGATAATATATTCAAGAAAACTTCAACTCCATCTATCTACTAATCTACACAAAAAAAAAAAAAAAAAAAAAATATATATATATATATATATATATATATATATATATATATATATATATATATATATATATATATATATATATATATATATATACTTAGGCCAGTATCTCTAATTAGTGGATAGTTGGATCTATCTAATTTTTAAAGCTATCAAGGCATTTGCCTATAAGGGGCTTTTAGTTCACAAAATGTGTGATTACTTTAGGTAATAGGATTATTTCTTGAAAGATAATGTGAGATTTTGAAAATGTAACATTAGCTTATGTGTTTAGTTTGGATTGTAGACATATAAAATTATTTGATTACGGGTTATAATTTAAATTATATACATATATTAATTTACTGTAATGTACTGTCTTCAATAACTACTACACCCTCGGAAGATTAATTAAAGAAACAAAAAGAACTAAATGGACTTAAACCACAACCATCATAGATCAAGAAACGGAGATTTTAGATTTGTCCATACTTCTCACAAACATCATGAGAGTAAGGTAATTCTTATTCCTTATCTTTGTTTATTTGATCATGGGAGTGACTTGTAGACTATGATTATTGTGTGCATTCCTTTTAATTGCCATCTTGTTTGGTCCTTACTCCTAATCCTATAAGTTTTATTGTATTCATTAGATTATGCTCCTTTATTCGAGATCTTAATTTCTTTAGTTGCATTTATCTATTATTTAATTCCTTAGTTTTTCTCTCTCTCTTTATATTTGATGATGGCTTGAAATCATATTGTCATGGTTTGTTTAGCTTCTTCCTTATATGTTAGATTTGGTGCATAGTTTTCTTTGTTATTGCATATTTCGTATCAAATTAAACCCTCAATCCTAAGAGAATGACATAACACCCTTACTCATTGCATAATGTATATTTACATCAGATACTATACATTTTATTTTGATGGACCGATGGGATATCAAAAGAATTCAAAAATTACAACTTAGCTTGTAACTATCTTTTATTAACATTGTAGGTTGAAGGTTAACATTTTTAAGTTTTCTATGAATACCAAAGAAAAAGAAACTGGTGGTGGGCTAGTCTCAAGTGAGATTTTTTTTTGGTGGAAAAACAAGCAATTTGAATTAGAGACAAGCTAGGATGATGAATCTAATTAAATTCTATGCAAGCAATTAATTAACCTCTTAATAATCTCTTATTATCAGTCTCTCTTGGATATAAGTGCTCACTGTGGCAGCTAGGGTCATCTTGGAGATTTGACTAAAAACATAGTTTGCTGTAAGGAACTGCCAAACTTCAGTCCTATAAGGAACTGCCAAACTTCCGTCCTATAAATCTATAATAGCCACAGCCTGACAAATACAAGACATAGTACTATGAATAGTCCTATAAATATAATCTATGATAGCTACAACCTGACAAATACAAGACATAGTGCTTTGAATACATTTCATTTATGGCACACATACATGCTATCAATCAATCTGATAGAATCTCCATAACACTTAGGGGTCGTTTGGTTCACGGAATGTCAGATTATCTTTGGGAATGTTAGATTGTTGGGAATGTTAGATTACTGGGAATGTTAGATTCATGTGTTTGGTTAAAATTGGGGTATGTAATATAATCATGTTTGGTTTAGGGTTATCTTTTATTCACGCTCCATAATATCCTTAACATATTTTCATATATTTTAATAAATTTAAAAATTAAAATAAATAATTAAGATAACGGTATCATATATAATTACATAATTTTAAAATATTAACTAAAATATTGAACTTGGAAACAAAATTATTTTATATGCTAACCTAACATAATAAAAATAAAAAATATATAATTACAAAAATAATTATATATATATATATATATATATATATATATATATATATATGTGTGTGTGTGTGTGTGTGTGTGTGTGTGTGTGTGTGTAATAAACTAACATAACCAAGGTTATCTTACATAACCTTAGAATTTGAAGGGAATCACATTCCCTTCAAAATCCTATGTGGAGGGAATGTGACATTCCTGGGGAATGTTAGATTCCCTGAGGTAATATGAACCAAACATAGGAATGTGAGCTTTGGAATGTCACATTCCCTTGGTTATGTTATATAACCTGAACCAAACGCCCCCTTAAACTATCACAAGAAAAATACTACATGTAATTTGATTCTCTACTCTTAATTTTTACTCTCACACTTAAAATATTGATGTAGACAGTTTTACAGGAACCCACATGAAGAAAATAACTTATTAGAGTCCGCCACATCAGAGAGTAAATTTGAGAGAGTAAGATTTGAGAGTACATGCAGTATAACTCCTATCAAAAACAACAATTCATATCGTCAATGGAGACCCAATGGAGGAGAAAGAAAAGAGAATAAGCAAATTAAAAGATTAAAATGCCATTATTATTTTACTCATTAAATTTTTTTTGGTGAGTTTTAATCGACAATACAATTTAGCCGGAGTGACTGAAATTGAGAAAAATTGAATACTTAAGATACTAAATTGACAATTTTGAAACTCATGGACGACAATTAACAAGACTCCAATACTCATAGGACCAAAAGTGAAATTTTCTCTTATTTTTTTATAACTCAAGTTTCTGGTTTCGACAAACTATCAAGTAATTCTAGGTTCCCCTTCGCTTATACACTACTTTTGCGCACAAGAGGTCTAATAAGTCAGGTTTTTAGTGAGATTCAAATCTCTATCCTGTCGATGAAAGCAAGACTAAATGTTGATTGGTCGACTACTTGAACTATCATGGTGAAGCAACATTTCAATATTAGAAATACAATGCATCAACAAATAAATACTATCATACATAATACCCTCACATTTCAATATTAGAAATACAATGCATCAACAATTCAACAAATAAATACTATCATACATAATACCCTCTTACTCAAGTATTATACAATGCTTTGCTAGGCTGCTAGCCTTGATCCCCATATCATCCTAGAAGTTATATTCAAGTAAGATAAAAGCTAGGTGAAAAACATTTTTAAAAAAGAACATTTACTTTAAATTCTACAATGTTATGCAAATAGAAATGAAAATAAGGAGGTAAAATAAATAATAGAAGGGGTAATTGTGACTCTTCTCCCTTTGGGGTTAGTTATAACCGTCAAGTATGCATGTATATAAAGGACTCGTCTTCTCCAATAATACAGTGAACCATTTTTCTGTTTGCTAATGATCAACTTGATGATTAATAATCCTAATAGCAATCAAATGCACCTCTCATGTCACCACATAAAATGCCAAATTAAACAAATTAAATTTTATAGTGTAGTTAAATAAATCATAAATGTCAAGCACCTTATGCTCAGATGGCATGTAGTGACTCTCCCATATGGGAGGTCATGAAATCGAGCCTCAGTGGAGGCGGTGTTGACTCTTTGTACTTTAACAGGTTGAAAAAGTATAGATAAACAGATACTACAATGTAATAAAGTCAGTAACTTTTTTTTTAAAAAAAAACCATAAATGTATGCAAGGGTATAACATAACATACGAAACCTACAATTAAAGTAAGAATGCAGTAGCTAGCCAGCCAGCAGTATCCTCATCATATCAATTCAAAATGCATGCTACCACATATATATATAGTCTCAAAGTAAGATGGAGAAAACTAAAGAAATTTAATTTACAGCTTTACTCAGTATACAATAATATATTATTTAAGTACATACATTAGTTGTTCAATTTTCTCACTTAACACAGCAATGGACCACAGATGAATTAAACACACACTGTAAAAGCAGAAGTTAAAAAAAAAAAAAAAAAAAAAAAAAAAAAAAAAAAAAAAAAAAAAAAAAAAACTGATAAAAATAATGATCATCGTACTTGAAGAAGTACGCAAACCCATCCTATATTGCTTCACTCAATGTTATGAATAAAGGGATCTTACTGGGAAGCGCATAAAAAAGTACTCATGCATTGGACTAAGAGAGATTGTCTGAAAATATATAATTATATATGCTACCAATTCAATTGATTGGTTGTTTAATTTGCAACAATAAAATAATCCTGCTTAAAATGTAGATTAAGACAACTGATGAAGCCGGAAGACACATTTCATTCCTTAAATTGTTCAGTCTTAGGCTGAAAAACATCATCGTATAGAAATAATATTATATAATATGAAAAAGGATCGGAATTAATTTAATTGAATTGTGGATACGTACTTGGAGCTTGAGAATTCATAGAGCTTTCCTTTCTGGGAGAAAATAATCAAAGCAACCTCGACATCACAAAGAACTGAGAGCTCATATGCCTTCTTCCGAAGCCCCACTCTACGCTTCGAGAAGCTCACTTGCCTGCTCGTTGCGTTCTCGATTCGCTTCATCTCAACCTTTCCTCTCACCATTTTCCTGCAAAATTATCAAGTTAACTGATTATCGTACCAGAAAATTTGCAGAAAAAAAAAAAAAAAAACACACACAAAAACTCAAGCCCCCATCGTGTGAATCGAGAAGAACACTCACAGCTCGAGACCTCAATCTGCAGGGGGGAGAAGTAATCCCAGAAATGGAAATATAATCCTCAAAGAATGAAATGGGGAAACAGTATGAAGAGAGGTCAAGGATAAACAAGAAAACGGGAACCCTAAAATTAAACCTGCAAATATATATAAGCAAGAAGTGGAAAAAAAAGGAATTGAAGGGGAGATAGATATGATGTTTGGTGATTGGAAAAAAATTTATGATGTATGGGTGTCTATATTTTCGGACCACAGATCCCAAACTTTACATACTCATGGTATGTTCCTTTGATATATTCTCACTGTCGTCTTTCTCTAGCTAAAACTGCAAACACAAGATCAGAACCAAGGGTGGGCTAAACCTCATGTTTTTTTGTGTTATCTCGTTTTGGCAATCTTGGGAGAAATATATGCTAAAGTAATTATACGAGCTGAGGAAGAAAGCTGTTCTTACCAATTAAATTAAAAAGGAATAAATGCTAATTTTTCTTGGTTTTTGCTTTAAATAGATAGAAGAAGAAAGACGATATATAAATGGTAGTGGGAGAAAATGTGTTGAATATGTGTTGGGTAGCACCAAAAGAAGAAAAAAGAATATAAAGAAGAAAGACTTTCACATAGTGAGTGGCTGAAGACGTCAACGATTTAGTACGATGAGGTGATGCATCCCCAAATCATATGCTGACAACGCATCTTATGTTTTCTATGATATGATTCTGACATTTTTGTGTTGTTTCACTATCCAATGGCATCCACGCTTGTCACGTGGGTCACTTCCTTTGCCGGGTTAGGTTATCCAGCTTGTAACCCGCATCCATTCAAAATCCCACCCACTGGCCAACCTAATCGAGTTAATTCATCAGGTAATTTAAGGTGTATTTAATTAAGATTTTTATAAATTTTGAAAAAATAGTTAAATAGACCTTTAATTTAAAAAGCCAATTAGATTCTCAAATTTTTTAAAATTACAATTAGCTACATAAACATGTCAATTTAATTTATCAAGTCCCAATTATCTATTAGTGACCTGTAATAAAAATCAATAATGAAAATCAAGGCGTCGCTGGAGATGGTGTGACAATCTCCGGCAATTGGAGATGGCGACCAATTAGTCTCCATCTCCAGTTGACAGAAATGGTGACCAAAATGGTCACCTTCTCCGTCGACGGAGATGGCTTATCTGGGGATGCCTTGATCTCCGTCGTCAATTTTTATTGTTGGACAATTACCAAAATTTTAGTGACATGGTATTACAAGTCACTAATAGGAAATTGGACTTTGATGAACTAAATTGACATGTTTATGTACCTAATTGCAATTTTAAAAATTTTGAGGGTCTAATTGACTTTTCATGTAAAGTTTGAGAGCCTATTTAATCATTTTCTTATAAACTTTTAATGACTTTAAAGTTTGATGGTATTCGATATCGATTTTTAAAGACTTTTTAAAAGTCGGTAATCGATTCAGACTTTTAAAAAGTTTTTAAAAATATATTGTTATTTGATTCATATTTTATAGAGTGTTTAAAAGTCTAGTGATATTCAAAACCTATTAACTTTTATGGATTATACCATATTAGGATTCTTATATACTTTTTTTTACAAATATAAATAGTTGACATCTAACTATCCAATCTCAAAATTTTCAAATTTCTCTATAGAACTTTTTTTTTTCTTTATTTGAACCAAACAATTTTTTTAACGAGCTAACTAGCGCAATTTGTGTCCCCTATGCTCAGCTCTGGCTTAGAGGCTCACCGGGAACAGCTCAGTTTAACGGTTACGTCCAAAAGGACCACCATATGAACGATAACACCTATTCAATGATGTGTTGGATGAAGAGCACTTGGTTAGAAGAAGACTTGACTTTTAAAAGCAGTATGGTGAACATGTCAGCTAATATTTTTTGAGATACTTTCTTGATACATCGACTTCGGATAATATAGATGGTATATTAAGACTGGACCACATAGACCGGCCCAAGAAAGTAACTGGATCAAGAAAGTCCCAGACGGATACATAGTAAGGAGCAACTTATGAGTTTAATAAGGATTGAGCTTACTATTCATAATGTAATAAGAATAGGTCAGGTGTCCATTATTTCTAATGTAGTAGGACTATAATTTATTACTTTCAATATATATATAGAAATAGTCCTACAATACATGGGAAAAGGGAAAGCAATCTTTACTACTCACAAGCAATTTTGAACGATACAACATATTTATTTTTTCCGTATTTTCTCTAAATTTTTCTCATATATTCGTTATTTTACAAATTGTGTCTGGTTGCCAAAAGTCATAAAATCAACACAACCATAATTTATAGGCATGTATGTATAGTGTATACAACACAGTCTGCAATTACCGGAATCTGATGTTGCAGTTTTGTGATGTGATACAACACATTATTATTATATTCTTGAAATTTATCAAATGAACTATCTTGGGTAAGAATTAATGGCAGCAAAAATAGAAACAAAAACGAAAGGTGCTGCTAGCCATTTGATTGCAGAAGAACAACAAGAAAGGTAAATGATGAATGATGATACTAAAGTTTAGGCTATCAGGCCGGGTCGGGTGGTAATCACAGAGTTATGGGCTTTGTGGACTGGTTCATGGGCAATGATCAGTGGATTTCAAGCGCAGCAGCTTATCTGTTGCGCTTACTGTTACAATCTCAGATCAAGTGATTCTGTGATCTACAACCTTCCCAAAATCTTCCTTTAATTTCATCTGGTTTGGAGTTAAATTATACGAGTAGTAATTAATTTCAGAAATCTTCAATTCAGAGAGAGAGAGAGATAAACACATATATATGGAGACAAAGGAGGAAAGAAAATAATTACCCAGAAAGTGGATCAGCATTTCAATGCCTATTTACACTTATTATGGAGATGGATGTGTAGAACGCAGACGGAGGAGGAGGAAGCAAGTGTTATTAAAACGGTGCCGTATTAGGCAACATTGGGGAGGAGAGCTGCCAACTCGGAAAGCTCAAAGCTTTGCAACAAAGGAGGCGTCTTTGAGCGAAGAGACATGCCCAGTAAACTCCCAGCCCCAGGACAGGAAGTACAAAAAAAAACCTCAATCAGTTGTGTGGTATGAAAATAGGTTTTGTAATTTGGGCTGTTCTGATCATATCATGCTTGAGGATGTTTACAAGAGATGTCATATCTGTTTGAGGAATGAGGATGCTATCTCACCATTAGATTATATGCTTACAAGACATGTCGTTCCTGTTCTGCCCATTTCAATTCCCCTATGGACTTGACTGTAATTTGTTTGATGAAGAGTCAGCAGTCAGGTTCCAGTGTGGGGGCCTTGTTATCTACTTATGGTAAATTGAATGATATGTTTCGTTTCAACTACAAGTTTAAGCTGATAGTTGGACTTACAATTTATTATTTATATATGGAGGGAGCATTTGTGATATTAATTCTATGTTTGCTGGCCTTTTGTTTATTTGATTTCACTGCATACTTAATTCTTGACATTATGCTTGTATAACGTGCGTGCATCAAACTCAAGTTTTTGACAGCATATGCTAAGAATCAATTCAGTCAAAGATAAAATGATGAGTGGCAAAATAAGAATTTGATACAGACCCTTCAGTACCTCTATGAGCTCTTCTGATTTAGAAGGGGAAAAAACTATGCAAAACTATAACACTTCAACTTTCTTCTGATTCAGAGCTGTGTACCTCCATCGCTCCTTCTCCACAAAGTCTGCATCCAGAAATCGAGCTATAAATGCCCAAAACTTGTATGTGTCCTCAAAGTTGGCCAAAAAACTTAGTGCAACTGTAACCACTGATATTCCCTGCTTGGCCTTCTTACTACTCTTGTTCCTCTCTGCTTCTTTCTCTTCATCTTTCCGTTTTTCTACAACTCTGCCCCTCTCTTCTTCATACTTGTCTGGGAACCATATGTTTTGTAAGAACCCTTGGCTGAGGGAAATATGATTCCTATCAGCTAGTTTTTGTATGAAAGTAGGGTCTACCTTTTCTCCTTTCCAGTCATACACATTGAATGCCAGAGCAGGTCCCCTGTCGAATTTGATTTTTGGTCCATAGATTCTGACCAGAGGGAAGCTGTCCAGCCTATTTGGATGCTGAAGCTTCATGAGTGCAGTGATCAGCCAATTAACGAGATATCTTCGTCTGTTGTTGACTAGCATCAACCCTAATGAATCCACTTGATCCAAGCACTTGCATTCAAATGCAGCGTGTTGATCATCTCTCAGTTTAGGATTCTTGCTGAGCGCAGGAATGGTTTCTGCTGATTCTTCTTTTCCTGAGTTTTCTGAAGTTGTCACATTTGGAGAAAATTTGTTTCCTTTTGACCTTGAGGTCTCAGTTTCTATAGATTTTCCATTCAAATTATCTGCCTTCATCCAAACGTTGGGCATCTGTTCAAGTTCTGTGTCTGTACCTGAAGAATCTGGTGAACGGAATAGCAGTGCTTGTGGCTCAAGGGCTACTATGCCTGCACTTTTTGAGTCTTCTAAAATCGATACAGCAGACTTCTTGGCAATTAGGCAGCCAAACCCTATGGGGTTGTCCCCAAAAACCTTGTAGAATGAGCAAACAAGGAAGTCGGGATGAAAGAGAGAGAGGCCAAAGCTGTCCATATCCTTTGGTCCCAATGCACAAGCATCAAGCAGGACATGCCAACCATTTTCCTGTGCCAAACTCATCCACTGATACGAGTAATTGCTACCTGTCACTCTTGACTGAAGTGGGAACACAAACAGTCCTCTGTCTCTCTTCTTCTTACTCACTATCATTTTTCTCATGTTTTCAGCATGAACTCTTAGTCGTGGCCATTTGAATTCAGCTGATGAGACATGGGCTCTTCGCTTCTCTGCTGTGTTTACCATGGTCTGCAGTGCTTCACTGTCATGGTCGTACACTGTCAAAAGCTTGCGATTGGATTGGAAAGGGTAAGATTCTGCAACAAGTTTGAAAGCAGATGATCTGTTAGCAGTAAAAATCATAGAGTATTCTTGCTGAGAGATGTTGAGAAAATCCAAGATCCTTTTCTTGATCCCAGATTCAAATTCTGATCCGTGACTACTTTGCAACAACTCTGACTTCAGATTCACCGACTTGAAAGAAATGTCGAAGAATGGGAAATCTGAAAACTGAGGTGATGGAGAAGAAGAGGAAGCAAATGGGACAACTGCAGAGAGCTGCGATTGAACCTGTGCATAGGAAAAGAGACCAATGCCAATGTAATCAAGACAAACATGTTTAGAGAGTGTGAGATTGTAGTACTCTTGAGCTCGGATGTTGTCAATCTGTCGAGTCTCAGAATACTGAGGATAGGCTTTGATGAATTGAGCGAATGATTCTCGCAAAGAAGGAAGAGACTCATGGTTGGTGAACTGAGTATTAGGGAAGAAGAAGGAGCTAGTCATGTCTGCAAAGCTGTGTCGGCAAGCAGAAGATGTGTTCCTGGGCTTGGAATCATCTTTCTGGATCGGTGATTCCTGCACTCTAAGAAGAGGGTTTGAACAACAACCTTGAAAGCAAGCTTGTTCATTGTCATCATCTCTAAACAAGGTATCTGCAGGCATTCTGGACTCACTCCCCTCTTAATGGTACGGTATGTGATCTTCTTCTTGCCTTTATGTATGCACACAAAGCTCTGTGCTACCCCCTTGTTGCTTTCAATCCATTATGCTTGCTTGTTAAGAAAGTGTTGGGAATTATTGTCCTTAGCACATGAAAAGGCTGTTGAGTGGGATTGATGATGATTATGTTGAATGATTGAACGTTCTTTTCTGGATACTGTGCTTGACATTATTTTATTGCTGTTTGCTAAAGTTGACTAATCTTTATTCCACTGTGGGAAAAGAGGAATATTTCCTCATTCTTGACTGACCACTAGTCTAGTGCTTTCCTTTTCTACAACGTATTTGACTATAAGCTGTTAATCAGAATTTGTTTACTCTGATTAAGCCATGATTTACCCATCTATTATTCTGTTAGGCCTGCATAGTGTGGGGCCTTGGGGCAAAGCCATTAAAATACTACTCCGTATTATATGTATCATTTTCTGGATTTCAGTGGTCGGTCAATTGAATGCTGCAAAATAGTAAGAAATGAGCTGGCCATTGCACAATTTGCTGAATTCCAACTCTTAAATTTCTTCAAACCCAGTCAAAGACTCATTATTTGGGCTGGCATAACACTAAGTTTTGTGTTTATTGCCATTTAAAATGCTGTCTAAAACCTTTCTTCTTTTTTTTTTTTTTTTTTCGAAAACATGTACTAACAAAAGCTTCCCAGGGATCACTTTTCCTTTTTCTTTTTCTCCCTTTTGGAAGAAAGTGAATAGATGTCATTATTCTTCTCTTCATGCTTCACTGGGGCTTTTCTTCTTTGTTAAGTAGTGCTGTTTTAAAGCAAATATAAGAAAAAGATAAATTAAACAATAGTACGCAATAAAACCTTTCTAGAAAAGTGTGGTTGAGTATATGTAATAATATTGACAATTTAATTTTCTTGAAGCTAAGATAGATACAGAAATTGAAATACCTTAAGGGAGTTAGAAACACCTGATCCAAGCTGCTAATAAGTAAAAGAACTCCAGCAGAAGGAAAGATGAAACTATACCTTGGGTATCATATATATATATAGGATCTGTACGTACCATGTAGGAGTATGTACTACATTATATTATATATATTAAGCTGAAACAGTCAGAGGGCAACTCTCCTTTGGCGTGCGGGATTCTGATGATGCTAGTAAACAATGCTAGCAGCCGCATGCCAATAGAGAGTAGCCCTATCACTGTTTCGCTTACAAAATCACTCTCCGTGCATTGCTGCGCTAGCTGCTACTGAGTTCTAGGTTGTTTGTGTTCGTTAAGAATTAAGAATTGTTGTAGTTACTAGCTAGCTAGCTAGCTAGTTCCTGGTTTTCACAGCTTAACCTTAGCATATATGCTTATATATATGCTGAGTACATAGGATAAACCATACGCGAATCAGCATATCCAATCAGGGTTATGCCATCCCCCCATATATGCATGCCAGTGACTGCTTTACTTGAATGGGCAGCTTAGCTTTCTTATCTTTCACACTCCATATCTTGGAAACAGCATATCCTTTGTCATATTCCCTCCATATATCTTTCTTTTGGCCTTAAGACTCTTTGGTCTTCTGAAAGTCCACCTGCTTTCTGCACTACCTATACATACATTAAGAATATGTCCCTTCGAGCATTCACGGAAGAAAGTTTTGACAACTTCTTCATTTGGTCAATTAACATTAGACTTCAATTTAAGCCGATAAATGTACCTAGCTAGAGTATGAAGGATTCTAGCTACTATATATTCTACTTCCATGCATTATGTTCCTTATCTAATAGTAATATGAAAAGTTATCACATTATTATATCCTAACCAACTTGGTTAGGCTGTTACCTTCTTCACCATACAATTACAAGTTTCACTCTTTGGCCTTCTTAGTTTGAGCTGAGCAACCTAGCTGCGCTGGTTAAATTTTTTCCTTTTTTCGTTTTGAAACATAATTTGTAACAAATGGTATTTAAAGTAAGTTAGTGCGTATTGACGGTGGTAATTAAATTAAAACGTGAAGTGGGATGCATGCATGATTTAGGAGGTTATTTAATTGATCGATCTCCCAATTCAAGGATAATTTTTTATATAGATGCTGAGAGATGTGATACAGTTTGCAAAATCTAAGAATCATGACCGTCCATTCACCTAGCAATTCAAGCAAGCTAGCTACTTCCTATCCTATCCAAGGGGTGCTCTATCATCCAAGATTTTGCGCCCCACATACCTGCATTACATAATACATACATCATCAAACTATATATACATGCATAGTTTAGTAATTTATATAAAGTATGATGAATTGAATATATATATATATATATGATATGATGATCACGTACCTTCCCAGCATCATAACAGTAGCTTGAGGATTGGTTCCGGGGGAGTTAATAAAGGTGGAGCCATCAACGACACGCAGTGCCTTGACTCCGATAACCTTGTAGTCTTTGTCGACGACTCTATTAACTTGGCAGCCTCCATGGTAGTGCCATATGGTCATGACGGTGTCGATGCAAAACTGCTTCAAGGAAAAGGTGGCGCTGACATGCTTAGGTCTGAGGTTGAGGGGGAGCGTGAGCATAGCATCGATGAGAGCCCGGGCGTGCGCCAGAGGGTACCGGAACTTGGAGAAAGGTTTTGACTCTATAACCTTTGCTATAATCTCTATGCCTTCAACGCATCTCTGCAGATCTCGTGGGTCTTTGAAGTAGTTGAAGGTCACCTTCGGGTTCTCGCTAGGATCCTTGCTTCGAAGCTCTAGATTGCCTGTTGAGTATGGGCCTGCAACTTTTTCTAGGATTATCCCCGCCTGCACACTCGCCCCTCCACCCAAGAATGTGTTTATACTTTTTCTTGCTGCTGCTGAGTCTGCGAAGCTCAAGTTCCCCCCGCCCACGAAATGCCGGCTGCTCTGGATCGGATCAGATCGGAGAAATACATACATACTCAATTATATATATGTATTCTTGAAATCTAATTAATTAAGGAGGAGGATGGGATGGGCTAATTAACGTAACCAACCTGATTTGCTAATCTTTCGAATTCAGATACCATTCTATGCATCCATGCCAGTTCCAGGGAACCGCTGGCTGCTTCTATGTAGCTGTCGAATTTTGTGATGCCCACAACCTGAATCAGAGAAACCTCGACGGGATGGGGGGAAGGAATAAACACCGCATTCATTGGATTATCAGACATCCCCTGACCCACCATCGCCTGATTCATTACCACCGGAATCTTATGTGCTTTTAGATGTTGGGCCGATCCTATGCCGCTTAACATCAATAACTGTGGGCTTCCCAGTGCTCCCGCCGACAGGATGATCTCACTCTTGGGTCCGTCGTTTAGGTAAGCTATGTGGCGGTTCCCGGCGCTGTCTTTGTAGAACACAGCGTAAGCTTTGGGTGGTTCTGCAATATACAGATCGACATCATCATTATTATCGATCACAATATATAATTAATTACGTGCAGTGCAGTGCAGTGGGTATAGTATGTACCGTACCATCTTTCTGGAAGAAGATTTTATGCACAGTTGCATACAAGTAGACAGTGATTTTGGTGGGATCAGCATACTCCAACAAATCGGCGGCCGTGTGTCTATATCCGTTTTCATCAAAGATTGTTCCCCCAACCTTAGTCCCGTACAAATGTTCGTACGTGAAACCATTGTACGGTGACACCCCCGCTTCTAGCAACCCGTCTCTCACCGCCGACTGCCACGCCAACATCGGCGGCTTAAACGCCACTTTCCTCTCAACCCACTCATACGATTCATCGACCAGGGCCTCATCCCACCCCGCGTTGTTAACGTACGCCTTGCTCGCCCGAGTGTAGAACCCGGCGTTCAAGCAGGAGCCGCCGCCCAAGACGCGGGCCCGGTGGTTGAAAACGCCGTCGCTGGAGACGAACAGCTGGGAGGCGGAGTCGGGAGATGTGTCCGCAAGCGTTCTGGCAAACCCATTAATGCTGGTTATGTTGGGGTTCCCATACGGCAACCCACCCCTTTCTAACAGCAAAACTTTAGCCCCCGCCGACAGCGTCGCAGCTAACGCACACCCCGCGGTTCCACCGCCGATGACGATGTAATCGAAGAATTCTGTCGGCGGAGCAAACGTTGCATTCTTAGCGAACGAGGTATATGGCGCTGTACGTACGTCGTACGTGCACAACCCAAAAAAAAAACAAGTTAATATTAGTTACTCCATTCCATTATATATTATATATATATGAGACTTGGCCGGCCGGAAAGGAGAACTTAATTTAATTTGTACATACGTACCTTTCTCGGAGAAACAAGAAGCAATGAAGAAGAAAAATGCAAAGAGAGATGAAGCGATCATGTTAACTATATACTCTTCTATTCACGATGAGCTGATCGATCAAGAACACAAAGTTTATAATTCTAAGACTCGGCCGGCGGCGGGGTAGCTAGTTTTTAAGCATAGTATTAAGTGAAGATGGATTATTGTTAGAATCACCTAACCAACCTTAGCTTCTTTTTATACAAAGATCAGATGAGAGTGGGCAAACAGAGATAGAGGCGGATCGGAACCACATTAAATTCATCAGGAAAAGGCCGGCTACGGTGCAAAGACTTATTGGACACTTACAGTAATTGTGATAATAAGAAAGAGTGGGAGTTGAGGATCTAACATTAATGATTAAACAACAGGTGTTTATGGTTCCATGAAAAGATCCTCAAAGTCTACTCAAGTGGTTGGAATAATGAAAACCGCTGAATTTGCAGAAACGGTCACTCTTTACTCTTCCTTAGTTAGTTCTAACTCTCACCGGCCAATCTCCAAATTCCTCATCAAAGGACTACCCACCTCTCCCATTCACTTAATGCTCCATCTCTCTCTTCACCAAACTCAAATTTCATTTTTCTTTTTTTATTATACTTAATATGTGATTCCGTTTCACTTAACTAATTCTAAGCACAAAGGACCCCACCCTAGAGCCTGTAAATTGCAAATCACGCAATTGACACACCGGGCAAACCTTAGTCTTTATGCGCGCCCATTATCCTGGCACACCTTCCATCATCATGAACCTTGCCGCCTTCTATCGTGATACCAAGTCAAGCGACGAACCACTACGCTAAGTCTCAAGAGAAAGAATTTTATTAGTCTAATCTGGTATTAAATAGGGGAATACATTGTGGATATGTGTAGGTATTACCCTATGATAATTGAGATATATACGCTATTTTTAAAAATCACATGTTATTTATTACTTTTATACTCAAACCAAGAAGGTCAATAGACAAGAAATCATACTTTGAAACACTCAACTCAACTACAATTGTCCACTATAATTAGTTATTCTTTTTAAGCTGAAAAGGGGGCTTAATTATTGATTACCTTTAATTTATGAACATATACAACAACACTCAGTGTTCACATGCAAATTTGACTTTTTGTTGTTATCTTTATAGAGATGGCTATATTTCCTTTATATATATATATATATATATATATATATATATTTGGAGTTAATACCTTCCATGGTAATTCGAGTATTAGCGATTTATCAGTTATGGTAATCCGAGTTTTAAATGACCTCCAATGGTCCTCCATGTTTTAAAAAATAACCACACGTGGTCCTTTTAGGACAACTCGTGGTCATTTTAAACTCGGGGTTTTTTAAGAATTAAGACTACGGGTGATTATTTTTTAAATCATGAAGAACCATTGGATATCATTTGAAACTTAGATGACCACAACTGGTAAATCGCTAATACTCGGAGGACCATTGAACTATTGAAGGTATTAACTCTATTTTTAACATAGATTTCAAGTTTTTTTTTTTTTTGTTATATTATTGTGCTGACTTTAATAACTGATGATAAAGTTCGTGTACATACACGAGTCAAAAAAAGCTTTTCTACATCATAAATGTAATATGATATTATCAAAATAATAGAGAATAGAGAATCAATTTAAGGAAAGGAAACAACGTTATTTTTCAAACTTTGTATTCACGGATGGACAGTAAATGTGATTTGGGTCTACGTGGATGTGACTGTATTGTCATATGTGGAACCATATGTTGCGTTTGCGTGTGAACGGATGAGGAATTGAAAATGAAGCCGCCTTTAAAAAAAAATAATAAATAAATTCATTGAAAAAAATATTATATTCCCTTTATTTTTTAACTTATTTGAAAATTCAATTATAAAAACATACACTCTCTATTGTTAAAATGTATATTCGATAGAGTTATTCCGGTACGTACACGTATAGAGTTTTTAAATCTTTTTTTTTTTTGTTAGTACAATGAAAATGATTATTTAAAATAAAATAAAATAAAAACATTACCAACTCTGTTTGTTGGTTTCTTATAAAACATAACCATGGCCTGCGTGCGGATGTGCCAAGCTCCTTATGGCTTAACGTTAAGGAGGTTCAATATATACTAACATAATAAGACAAAATTAGGTTAAATGCAAATATAATATATACTCCGTAGTATGGTCCATCTCATTTTGAATAAGTCTTACTTTTTCATTTTAGGCTAGCTTTACTAGTTTTCCTTGCACTCTTTTGTCTTGTATAATAAAATGAAGAATCTCTTTACACTTAAATTTTTTTTTAAAAAAAAATCATATAATTTGTTTTGTTACGCTGTGGCAAAGTGAATTTGACCTTGAACATTTAGATTTATGCCCTCCACCAGTGTGCAAAACATGGGTGGTGAGGAGTCCCTTAGAATTGGGGTTCAATCTTTTGGAAGAATAAGTGGTGAGGAGTGCATTAACACTTTAAATTAGATCCTCTTCAATTATAGAGTATGATGGATTCAATCTCATATAGTAGTTAATTACTTGCATTTGTCATTTTTTGTCTCAAAAAAGTATAGTACAAGATTGTTATTTAGTGTTATATATATCCAAAATACTCTAATTTGATCGGTTGTAAATAATTTATTTGGGGACATTGAGACAAAAAGCGATGATATAAATAAGCAAAAGATCGATCAAATTTGTTATGCCCATCCATGGAATGCTCAAATGTATAGTTCTCTGAAATTAAAAATATAATCACTGAAATCGTAATTTATAAAGATATAAATATATTGCAGTATGCTTATAAATTATAATTATATATACTGTACTCCTTATTATACATGTATAATGTATTATATGTATATAGTTGGCATATACATACAGTGGAGATGGAAAGAAGTGAACGAAGAAAGCAGAAAAAGAAACGAGAAAAACCGGCCTATAAATACAGCTGGTATGTATGTGGGTAGTTAGGTAGGTAGGTGGTGGTCGGAGGTATACCTAGGAGTAATCTTGATGACAAGTCCTGGAAAAACATCATCAGGATCATGGATATGTGGGTTGTGCTCAACGATGAAAGGGTCGCCGCACTTGTCGCTGATGGTATGCAGAGTTTCCCCTTCTCCGACCACATAGATTTCGTCGCAGGCCCTGTTGTTGGACAGCTGCAGCTTCCCTCGTACGTGAACGTCGCCGCTGTCCCCTCCATAACCATAATTCTCCTCCACGGAGCTAACAAGTAGTAGACACAGCACCACGATTCCGCAGTACCACGACGCAGCGTCAACCATGGTCGCCGGGGTTTTCTTGAATTGATACCCAAGGGAAAGTTGAGTGCTATATTCACTATTCAGAAGATGGCCGGAGATACGATAGAGTGGCGGGTTTATAACATTAAAATGTAGAGTTTATGGATTTTTGATTCTATATATATAGAAATTGTGGAATTTTGAGTCTGGACGGTTGGTTGATTAGGTTGTCAATTATATTATTATATATCTTTTAGACTTAAATTTATTGACGGGTTAGTCAAATCAACTAACTCAATCTATTAACATCTATTTACCAAACACTCCTTAAAGTAGGTTGCCAAGTAATATGCATAAAAAAAAAAAAAATGATTGTAATACGTCTTGTATAAATAATTTTAATATTATAATGTCCTGTACTGAAATGAATACAAGGAATATATTTGTTCCGACCCGTGCAATTATTTGTTCTTATAACTAGCATTAACACAATCATTTATATTTATATCAATGTTTTGTTGAGTCGGAATGTGAGGAGCCCTTAAGAATAGGGATTGAGGGATTCAACCTTTGGGAGAATAAAATTATTTTTAATAAACTTCACATTCGAGGGATACAATATTTTGGATTGATTTCTAAATCTTATCCTTAAAAAAAAAAAAAAAAAACCAACCTTGTAAATGTAAAGATATAATTCAAATCATATATACGGACCTGTCTAATTCATGATTTGGATATATTACTTTAAACACGAAAAGAAATAAAGTATTTTGCGGTCTGCATTTTAATTTAATAATGATCTTATATAATATATGATAATAATTGAAGTTAGTTGTGATGCTCCCTTTATGAATATAATAAATAACAGTTTGTATTTATATTGGATAAAAGTAGCTTTAATTTAATAATAGTTACAAAATTTAAAATATGTATGCTTAAAAAAAAATTAGAGTGTGTTTGGTCATGGGATCGGAAATAAAATCTGAATGAAAATCAAATGCTGGATATTGTCAACCAAACAGTAACTATGATTTTGATTCTCATTTTCGGTGTGTAAACTCATGAACAAAACACACGTACCCTTAGAATGGAATTAAAGCTTAACACACTAATTTGTTCTCTCAAATTACAATTAAGGCAGCATTGAATCATTGGGGCAAGATATTAAGAAAATAAGTAACGTGTTTGAATGCATTATGCATCAAACAACGAAGCTAACAGTGATGGATCTGGCGATTAAGGATTGGATCAAGAAATTAATAATGTGTTGTGACGAAATAGTTGACCAACGTAACAACTAACAACACAGATGCGTGGCAAGGTGGGATGTTGGGTCGATTCATATGTTGGGTGTGGCAGCAAAACTACTTCAGATCAATTAATTTCTCTTATCTTCTAAAAATCAATCAATATATACATACGTGGCTGCATCAGCATAATTATCTTTCATGTTAATATATATATATATATATATATATATATATATATATATATATATATATAAACATACGTCGCTGCTCTGTCGGGCCGGAGTGTGGGAGGCCTTTAGGGTTGGGGTTCAGCTTTTGGAAGAATGTTAATATATATATAATAAATATTGTGGTCAAGAAATTTATTAGAACATGATTGAACTTTTAATTTATTTTAAATCAAAATAAAACTACTCACAATATATTTTCATCCTTTATTATAATTACATAGAGATGATTTATGTGTCATTTTCTGAATGTGATAGTATAATCCAACTTGGTTTTGTCAATTGATGTTATAGCTACCTCAAAGTTTCAGCCTACCTTCCAGGCATAAATAATCAGAGCATCACCAACAACATCAATCAATAATAATAATAATAATAATAATAATAATAATTTCTACAATTTCTCAATATATGTTTTGAAATATAATTGTTTTGTCAACAGTTTGTTATCTATAGTCTATAGAATATGAATGGTGGGTGCATCATTAAAATAAATAAATAAATTGAAGAGTTTTATAGTTCATCATTCAACCAATTCAACTCACAGCAGAAACATGGATATTCCTCTGAAAACATTTAAAAAAGACAGCGCATGCAAATTGGTGAAGGAATATATTGTGACGTTCCAACACACATCCCATATTTAAGAAAATATAACAACATAAAAATTAATAATAGAACATAAAATAAAACAATTAAGTAACAACCAAACCCCAAAATATGAAACATCTCAGTCGCAGTTAGTAAGATCGAGAAAATTTATTATTTTTTATTAAAAAATATCAATTTATTTCACTTTAAAACTGGGCTGGGGAAAACAAGCCGTACGTGAATGTTGGGCCATATTGAAGATTTGAAGGCATACAAGTAGGGAGTTGCAGATCTTCATCTCGCCACACTTTTGGGCCGTTTATTTTGGTATGGCCCATAAAACTCAGTCCTAGCTCTCTATACTTGGATCCGTACCGTTATATATGGCTGTTTCCATATAATAGGTGGGCAGTGAAGTAGCAAATTTGTATAAATGGGATGGGAGAGAGAGTAGAGAATCCAAATAAAAACGTATGTTCTGACTGCCACCTTTAATTTTGAACCCAACCCAGTAGTAGACTAGTAACAAAGTTTCCCAGTATTGGAAGACGCACGCAGTTACTGCCATTAGCTTAGCTTCAATAATTGCATTTGCATTGCATCTTAGCTGCCCAATGACTAGATTGCTATTAACAATACCTCAATAATATTTTCTCAACACTTAAACGAAAGACATCTTTGTATACGATTGGACATCACGATTAAGTAATGCCTGTTTAATGTTAAAATGGAGCACACACATCTTTTAATAGCTGATTCTTTATACTTTATTAGATTGGAAAAGTATTGTATTGTAATAGAGTAAATAAAACTAAAAAGATACAAATAGTTAGAGAGATTATTTTTAAAAACATTTCCTTGTAGAAAAAGGTACGGAGTATAATGTAGAGTTGTACAGGCAAAAGAAGAATAATAATTGAAAAGACAGCGAATAGTAGATAACAAAACAACAGGAGGGGTTTATGCGACACGAGAAGCGGAAGCCCCACAAGTAGTCTCTGTTGTGGCTTTGGCCCTCTCTCTCTCTCTCTCTCTCTCTCTTAGGGGGGACTGAATCAGAATCATACTTCCAAACCCACTTTCTTCTCTTCCTCCTCTCTCTCTCTCTGCCGTTTCGCTCCTTCTCTCCCCAGCCCCAGGTTAGCTATTTCTAATGCCCTTTCATTTTCATTACTTTGTGTGTATACCTGAGCTCAGGAATAAAGTTTTCTTTTTTATGTGCTTCTGCTCCAACTTGGATCTGGTGTTACCTTTTTTGTGGTTGAATTTTGATGGCTTGTCTTCAATTTTGGCTTTGGTTAACAGTTCTGGGTGTGTGCCTGTATTGGGTTTGAGCTTATTTGCAGTATAAAGTGGTGATCAGGGTTGTGAATTGGGTCTCCCCTTTATTTATTATTTTAGTCTTCAAGCTTTGCTTTTGCTAAGTGTTGTGAACTTAAAGTCAGCTCTAATATTTGGCAACTTTTTGAGCATTACTCTATGATCTGTTAGAGAATTCGACCAACAGCTGCTTGTTTGTTTGTGTTATTTTTTTCTTTGAATTTCACTTGTATAAAAAAAAAAAAAAAATGAAATTTCCTGTATCTGAGCTTGATTTGAGTTTATGAACACTGCTTGGTTTGCCAGATCCAGCTGATTTTGGAGGGGCTGAAGGAGATGAAGCTTAGGGTGTGCCAAGTTTAGCTTCTTTAGGTTTTCTGTTGAAACAATTGTCTGGACACGCCGTTTACCTCTTCCACCCATACTTTTCAAACTTAACCTGCCTGCTACTGGAGACTTCCCTTTGTTATGTTGACCTAGGAAGGTTTGGTGTGTTACAGTGTAAGAAAAAACGAGTCTTTTGACTTTGTTATTTGTGTTTCCCATTTTGGAGAAGCATAAATCTTAGATCTTGAGGGGTATCTTCTGGTTCTTTGGAATTCAAATTTTCGTATGGCTGTTGCCAAGAGCAACAGTAATACTGAATCACCACTTTGCCCATGCAATTGCTATAAAGTTGCTAACTTGGCTGAAACCATCTTGGATGCGAGTCAGTCTGGTCACCTTAAAGACCGGTATGTTCTTGGAGGGCAATTAGGCTGGGGACAGTTTGGAGTAATCAGGGTCTGCTCTGATAAATTCACTGGAGAGGTATTGGCCTGCAAGTCGATTGCTAAAAATAGATTGGTCTCTCAGGAAGATGTGCGGAGTATCAAGCTTGAAATTGAGATAATGACTAGGCTTTATGGGCATCCTAATGTTGTGGATCTCAAGGCAGTTTACGAGGAGGAAGATTATGTGCATCTAGTAATGGAGCTTTGTGCTGGGGGAGAGCTTTTTCACCAGTTAGAGAAGCATGGGAGATTTTCCGAGACTGAGGCCAGGGTTGTTTTCAGGCACCTGATGCAAGTTGTAATGTACTGTCATGACAAAGGCATTGTTCATAGAGACTTAAAACCGGAAAACATTCTCTTAGCTACAAAAGCCTCTTCTTCTCCCATAAAATTAGCTGATTTTGGTCTCGCAACGTATATCAGACCAGGCATGCTCTACTTTGCTGTCCCTATAATATTCGTACTAATTTTCTGCTCAGAAAATGACTTTTTGCAATCTTTTTCTCCAATGCAGGAGAGAGTTTGCGTGGTACTGTTGGTAGTCCGTTCTATATAGCTCCTGAGGTGTTGGCAGGAGGTTATAATCAAGCGGCTGATATCTGGAGTGCTGGTGTTATTCTTTACATTCTCCTTAGTGGGATACCACCGTTCTGGGGGAAGACAAAATCACAAATATTTGATGCTGTTAGGGCTGCTGATCTACGATTTCCTTGTGATCCCTGGGATTCTATTTCTTATTCAGCAAAAGAGTTGATCAAGGGAATGCTCTGTACTGATCCTTGTCACAGGCTTACAGCTCAGCAAATTCTTGGTAACAAACTTACCTCAAAATTTTGCCCACTTTCTTTGCCTAGTCTTTTTCCCCCTTAACTATATATACTTTTTTTTAAAAAAAATAAAATTGTAGATCATACTTGGGTAAGGGACAAATTTCGACTTCTTGAAGAGCCATGTGCACAGGATAAAAGTATTACTGGCTGTTCAAACGAAGGCATTTTCTGTTCCTCATTTATGGGCAGGGAACAAGACATTAGCTTTGGCGCAGGGTCAGCTGTTGCATGTGATGCCCAGTCGTCACCTGCATTCACATGCCGGTCATCATTTTCTTCCTTCCTGGCAGGACCTTCGACTCCTTACTTTGAGTCAGGTGGGTTTTCTTTCCAAAGTGGTGGATCAAACACCCAAGAATTTTCTACTCCCGTTTCCTCAATGCCAAGTTTTGCATTCTTCAGTCCAAGTCCTAGTATTGACCAAGGTCGCTGTGAGTTGACAAATCCATCTAAGGAAGATTTAATTCGCAAAGGTAATGGTAATGGAGTTTGTTAATTACTTTGAATGAATGTCCCCTTACTACCATATCTCTAAAAGTAGTATCTCGATATTTAATTTGGGTGTATGTGGATGCAGAGAGTGGTGTAGGGAAGCTGTTTATGATGGCGGATACTTGTGTATGCTACGAGCAAGTGGCAGCTGGAGGGTTAGAGCGTAAAGCATTAGAGGTTAAAAAGGGTGGATCGAATGTAGTATCTAGAATGGCGGGCATCCACAGCCACAGCCACAGCCGGAGGAACCATACAATAGGGCTAGGTGAACTTGAGCAACTTGATCTTATGGTGACTGAATCAGTTATTCGTTGGGCATCATGCACATGTCTCCCAACTGCGACTTCGCTTAGGTCTTCACTCGTTTGTTGAAAGTATAGTATAGTGTGTTTGTTGGGTAGTCTGTGCTGAAACTGTTTGTATTTTCACTTGAAAGCAATGAGCTCCGTCCTATAACTAAGATTGAGTGGTGTACAAGGCCTATTCATTGATTTTCCAATACAGTTTTAGGTGTCAGTAGTAACTAGTAAGCCAAGCCAAGCCAAACTGTTTGATAGAGACAGAAATGCTGCTGCCATTACATTGCAGCTTTGCCACGTGTATAAAGTTCAGTTGGTTTTTTAAGTTATGTTTCTTTTTCTTGTTGCCAATGTTATGTTTGTCTCAGATGTCGAATGTTGTTTTTTCCTTCCAATCTTTTTATATTTTATAGTTAATCTATAAGTGCAGTGGCAGTTATATAAGTTCAGTTGTCACATGATATATGCGATTATAAAAATAAAATAAAATCAGTCGAAAGCAAGTCTCTGAGAGGCGACGAGAGAAGCATATTGACCCTTCCTTTCCAACAACTCAAAATGTGTCCCCAGCTCTGCAATCTTTCCATCACAACAAACAGCAATCACATCTGCATTCTGAACAGTGCTCAATCTATGAGCAATCACTAATGTTGTTCTTCCCTTCATTAACTGGTTCAACGCATCCTGGACTAGACGCTCACTAACAGTATCCAATGCACTAGTGGCCTGCAATCAACTCACTCCATTCAAAATCCATTGGAATGGAATGAATAATCGACTATGCTGCTCTGCCTAGAAGCATACATACCTCATCAAGAATTAGGATTGGGGCATCCTTGAGCAAAGCTCTGGCAATGGCAATCCTCTGAAAAAACAGAATATGCAGTTACGCAAGAGGACTCTATTTGTGAGTTGTGACACAAATATATCTACCCAAAAAACAACACCGTGTTAATACCTGCCTCTGTCCACCACTTAACAATCCCCCACGCTCACCAACCAATGTATCGTAACCCTATGGAGAGAACATGAACATCAAAGTCATCAAGTAGAAGAAAAAGGTTAAGAGCATATTTTCAGGTGTTACAAACCTGTGGCAATGAAACTATGAATTCATGAGCATTTGCAGCTTTTGCTGCCTTTATCACATCATCCTTGGATACATCCTTATCTGGGAGACCATATGCAATATTCTCCCCAACAGATACCGAGAAAAGAACAGGTTCCTGTAAGAGAATGTTCGTATATCAGAAAATAATAATTCTACTCATGAGTTTTTCTGTTCAATACATTTAAACTTTTAAGCCATTTGTAATTTAACGTATAAACTTCTTCTGTTTGCACCTAACTACATCTACTCTAAAAATTGTCTGCATGTTGCTCATTTTGGGTGAAGAGTAATAAAATTATTATTTTTTAAAAAAGACATCCCTGGACCCTAATATGTGCACTTGATAATGATGTACTATTCTTGAATTGAAATATGAAGAAAAAATAAATAAAAGAAAACTATAGAGAATAAAAAAGCACAGGGAAGAGGGAGAATAGGTGTGTCTGGTTTTAGGTTTTGAAAATTGTTCAAATGACAAAAATATACCTATAAGATGCACATTCAGACACATGCTATTTTCTGGTTATTTGTGGAGTGAAATGGGTGAAATGCAAGTAATATTAAGAGTTCACATAGTTAAGTGCAAACAGAAGAAGGTTATGCATTAAAGTGCAAGTACAAAGTTCATATATTAAAGGTAAAAGTGACATTATTATTAAGTAATATAGGAGAATGAATATACTTGATTCACTAGAGACACAGCACGTGCCCATTCACTCTTATCAAATGTTCGCAAATCTTCTCCTGCAACAGTAATGCGACCCTTGGTTGGCTGCACAATAAGAATACATTAAACTTCCACTGAAAGCAAAAAGGAAAGGTTTTCAATTACACAACAAGAATACCTCATAGAAACGTGCTAGTAGCTGTACTACAGTACTTTTCCCAGCGCCACTGGGGCCCACTAGGGCAGTAACTGTCCCACATTTTAGGGTCAAATTCAGACCACTAAGGATTTCTACATCAGGCCTCACTGGATAAGAAAAATGTACATCTGCACAACAAACATATATAGGATTTAGAGTTTGATATGCTCTCTGTACTATGAAACCAGTAAAAGGGAGCAAGGTCCAGCATAAGTACTCACCTTCAAGACAAATATCACCAGACTGTGCAAGGCTTCGCACATTACTACCAGATTTCAAGGATGACATGTATCCCAAATTTGTAGACCGCATGCCATCAGAACCATTATCCACAAATAGTCTAAAATTTTTATCATGTGCATTCTTCTGTTTCATGTCCTTGTGTAAGGCATAAGCAAGGGCTTCATCAATTTCAGCTCCAGACAACACAGAATTGATTCTATCCACAGAGGCAAAAGCCACACGAAGATCTCCAAAGGTATTGACAAGCCCTTGAACCTAGAAAATTTAATATATAAATAAAAACATTGATAAATATACATAATACTAGTATTTTATATGCGCGATGCGCAAAAAATATATGCCCAATATTAAAATTAAATATTAAAATCTTAGTTATATTAATTTTTTAAAAATAATAGTGTGTGTGTGTGTGTGTGTGTGTGTATATATATATATATATATAATTCATATTAATATTATTCAGGTAAAAATTATAGAAATGATAATTTACTAAATATAACTATGGTAACATTTTAATTAAAACCTAAATGAATTCAAACTTACCATTGAAGGATGTAAGAAAAAAATATTGTGTATGCATGTACATGGTAATAATAATGTGGAAAGATAACAGAAGTTATAACAACAGGGATATTTTTGTCCAAAAAATTATGTAGTACAACTTTTATAGCACAAGGTACAAAAAAAGTTAACGGAAAACATGGACATGGACATAAACCAAGGGTATAACCTGGATTGAAGCTTATTATGTTTTTAGATTAGATATATGTATACCAACTAGTGAATGTAAGATACAGCAGAAAGAGAAACATAAATACACTTACTGCAAAAGTCAAGGTAAACGTGTATCCAATAAAAGAAGCCACAGTTCCCACAGATAGTTCGCCCTAATTCAATGTGAACATCTCAAACAATTAATTTAAACCAATAAAATAAAATAAAATAAAATCCATGGCTACAAGGAATCAAATCCAAGAATTATTACAGCCTGCATGACAAAAATGTTATCTGCAATAATATATTTTGGAGGATTGAGCTCAACACTCCTTAACTCTATTCAACTAAACATTAACCCAATAACCTCAATCTGGTCTTTTTTTATTATTTTTTTGTTATTTTTCTATTTTGTTAATCCCAATCTAGTTGGGAATTGTGACATGACTTCTATGTGTCTATTCAGTCGTAATAAGATATAAGTCCACCTTATGCAATAGAGGTATCATACTAAATCTTAATAACTTATATCCAACTGAGTTTCAGTTTACCGCCTTCTCTCCAGGCATATCATTCATTCTAACTGATGCATCTAAGCTCAATAACCTTTGATTTTAAAAAACCACCGTTGAGCAAATAAGAGAAAGCTATTAAAGTAATTTATCGTATAGGGTTCACAAGATCAGCATGCTTACAGCTTTTACTTTGCTCCCTCCAAGACAATATAAGGCCATCAAAGAGACATAAACTGCAATCCTAGTTACAGACTCATTTACAGATTTGAAAATCCCAAGCTTGATGCCACTGTCCTCATACTCAAGAACCTGCCAATAAATTAAGAAGTGCATGAGAATGCCACAATGGCTTTCTATCAATTCCTAAGAATCTAGACTCGTAACAGCAATGGTTAGCTGACTTAGCTCTACCTGCCGTCCAAAGACTGACATTTGACGCTTTTCTCCACCAAATGATCGTACCTGCAAAATTACATTTAATTAGTATAAACCAGTGGATTCAAAAGAACAGTGAACTTCAATGAACTAGCTAAAAATATATGGAGGCTTCAAAATAGGACTAAATGTCAAGAACTTACAGTGCGAATAGCAGAAAGTGTCTCAGTTACACAATCAGCAATTGAAGCTTGGACCAAACCATGAGATTTGAAAACATTCACGGTTGACCTCTTGTATAGCGCTGAAATGTAAATAACAGTTGGTGGCAAGGAAAGATAGATAAACTAACAATGAATTGCAGAAAACCTATAAAATCTAAATGATTTATGTTTCCTCTCCCTTGCCTTTTCAATGTGAGGTCACAATCTCAATTTTTAACCTTTTCACAAGATAATTACAAACTTATACACACAAACCAGACAACAGTCGAAAACTAAATAACAGAAACTGATCATCTGTCAACTATAAAATGAAACCATATCTCATGTCCATCAAGTCACACAAACACTGCACCTGTGATATATTATAGAGTGCAAATGCTGTTAATACTTATTAATCTCTTCAAGAAATTGTTTACCAACTAAAACTGACACACTAAGCATCAGTACGCCCAAAATTGGTGCCAGTTGGGGAGATAGGGCAAACAATAAACACAGTGTTCCAATAATCTGCAATAAAAGACAAAGGCGCAGTTGGATAATGAACAATCAATTTATATTGTCATCATAGAAAGGAAATGTAAATGGTCAGCAGATTTTGTATGCCATGCTTTGCTATTAATTTCCTACCGAACAGGGAAATATGGTTTCAAACATCAAAGTTTGGGAAAGATGAGATCTGGCTCAAAGCTTACTTAGCAGAATCTCAGTCAGGGGGGAGAGGAAAGAATAAAAACAAATTATAAAAGCTCACTTTTGTTTAGAATAGTAGCTTGCCTCAGACAATGCCCTAAAACCACGATCCCTGGAAACATTTTCACTCACGATATTCTTCAACGAGCCCAAATCAGATGTCAATAATGCTGTTAGTTCACCAACCTGCAAGGAACATGCCACTAATGTTATCACTACCTGCAAAGGAAAAAGAAAGGCAACCTAGCTTGGAAATTGATAGTGTCTGATTTGTTTTTAAGCCTACGTTGATAACATTATTATGTAGAGAAAGATTTGAATTTTGAAACATTGCAAGTACAGGCCAAAATTCTAAAATATTAAAGTAGCACTGTAGCACAACAGATCCATTAATTTGACCTTGTCACGTCATTATTGAACAAGACAACAAGTACAAAAATAAACATACCTTGTAGCGGTCAAAGAACTCAACCTGCCAAAAAAATTAAGCAATGCATCAAAAACCTTAATTAGAGGGCATTCAGTTGTACTATTACACAATAAATTTTCTAGACTGTTAATATAGAAGGGAGAAAGAACCTTCG